AAAAATATATTGCCCAAGCACTAATGAAATACAGTAAAGATAGAAATTAACTGGAAACTATTCTGGTGAAGCAAAGATAGAATTTTGTTCTACAATATTAAAGCAATGATAGAATTTTATTGTGAAATTATTATGTTAACCAAAAATGGAATTTCTGTTGAAGCATCAAACAAATAAATATAAAAGATTGATGGCCAAAGAAACCCTTAAAATACTAATCCTAATCTGCTCATAAATACATAAATAGACAAAGATAATTATAACCACACGACAATCTATGTATATAAAAATGTACTATTCCAATCGAAATAGATAAGAAAAAATTTTTTATTAATATTTTTTTTTTTTTTTTTTGGCGTTATAATATTATTAATGTTAAGCTGGTAATAGAAATTTCTAGAATATTTATTTTTTTTCTTTTATGTAAAAAATAAAAATATAGCTTTCATCTTCTAGTTAATTCTAGAAAATAAAAAATTTTTTATTTTAAAAAAAAAAATTTGTATAAAAGAAAAAAAAAAAAAAGTTTTCCTTTATTTAATAAAAAAAAAAAAATTATATATATAGTTTTTATTATACTAGATGTCAGGATTTCAAAAAACTAGTGAATTTTCTGAAGTAAAGGATTATTCCAACGAGGATATCGAAAGTAAAGGAACTTTTGCTAACAGTCCTCATTCAGGTATTTTGGCTAATTTTTTTTTAATTTTTTACTCTTAATTTAGATACAACGGATAACGGTCACTTGTTAGGTGAAAGAGAACCTGAAATTCGTCCACTAAGTTTAAATCCAATGGATTGGTACAGAGATATCAAATCTGAATATGAACAATTCACCTGGGCAATGACAGAGAAGAAAAGAGTTGTAAGTTTCATTCATTGATGTTAACTTTTAATTGATTCTATTTTTTTTTTTATTGCTTATAGTTATTAAGAGCTATATTCGGTGAAGGTCTTTGTACGTTTTTGTTTCTTTTTACAGTTATGGCTGCTAGCGTAAATAATGGAAGGTAAAATATCAAAAATTTTTAAACATTATATAATTTTTCTTTTTTTAATTCTTCTGATTATAGACAAGAATCACCTGGTATTACTTAAAATTATTAAATTAGTTTATAATTTTTATCAAAAAAATTTAAAATGTATTTAGAAAATTTGGTTGTTGGAGCTGTTTGTGTTGGTTTCTGTAGTATTGCCTACATTTATTCTTTTGCTGACGTATCCGGTGCTCACTTCAACCCAGTAGGAAAAATTAGCACAATTTTTTTTTTTGTTTACTGTTTCTTAAAGGCAGTTACTTTTGGTACAATAATAATGGGAAAAGTCAGTGTAAAGAAAGGTTTAGCATTTATCGGAGTACAAATATTTGCAAGTATTTTGGCAACAATTTGGGTCATGGCAGTCTTTCCAAAACACTTACCTACTGGAATAACTGTTTCTAATGCTTTGGTTGTGAACCTCGATGCAAATACCAAGTTAGTAAACGCTTTCTTTATGGAAGTAACTCTCTCTTTCATTTTGGTCTATGTTATCTTTGCCACTGCTTTTGATACCGGTAAAACTTTTAAACAATTATTTTCATTTCATATTTTTAATTTTTTAGTCGACACAAACCCAGTTAAAGTCGATGGAGGTAAAGGTGCTGTTGGAAACAACTTGACTATTTATGTAAGATTAAAATATTTTATATAGACAGTAATAATAAAATATAAAAGACCACATCAGGAAACAGCAAAGCTGGGTTTGCACCAATTGCAATTGGATTTACCCTTGGATTTTTAGGTTTACTAGGTGGTTCAGTATCTGGTGGTTGTTTCAACCCTGCCAGAGCTTTTGGTCCAGCTATTGTTGCTGACAGGTAAATTAAAAAACAAATTTATCTTAATATTTTACTTGTGATTTTGTAGCTGGGATAATCACTGGATTTATTGGATTGGTGATTTTGCAGGTGCTGCTTTAGCAGGTTGGACCCAAAGTTTCTTCGCCCATAAGCCAACTCATAAAAGCGCGGCTGCTCCAACCAACAAAAGCAGAGAATAAATTAAAAAATAAAAGCGTTTCACTTGTTACTTTTTTTCAAGTTGTTTTATACCCATTAATACCTTCTATAAATGGTTTTTATTTTTATTTTTCAAAATATTCTTTTTTTCTTTTATTTTATATATAATTAAATATTAAAGGATTTTTTTATTTAATTAAAAAATATTTTTTTTTTTTTTTTTTTTTCAATCAATAACTCATTTTTAAAGTTTGTCAATAAATAAGTGATTATTAAAAAAGAAAACTATAAATAACTACGAGATTGAAAAAAAATAAAATAAAAGTAAAAACATATTTCATCTTTAATTTTCAATAATTTTTTTAATCTTTTTGTCAAATACTTTAAACATTGGATCATTCAGAGCAGAGTTGACTAAATTTTTCAATGAGATATCATCTAATTTCAACAAATTGTCAAGGGTTTTTACTGCAGAAAACGATTTTTTTTCAGAAAACTTAGTTGCATTAGTCAATATTGTAGCATTTTCTTCATTGATTTGTTTAAAATCTGACAAAATTTTACTATCTTTTTCAATTTCGTTAGTTTCTGAATGTTGAGAAAAAATTGCAGGTTTCGTTATTTGATCATCGGACGGCATCATTGTTGATTGTTGTGAATAAACATTACCCATCACCAAATTCCCACTTTCTTCGACAAAGTAGCTATTTTGACTGAAGTTTTGATTATCTCTCTCAAAGTTTGTTTGTGCACCAATTATGCTTACAGAATTTTTAACACTGTTAAAAAATTTTTGACAAGTCTCATTTTCTTCAAAATCCAGTTGAAACTTTACAATTTTCTTTTTTTTATACAATAAAAAAATTAAAATAAAAAAAGAAGAGACTTGAAAAAAAAAGTTTACTTTAAACTTTTCGTTGTAATAAGAAAAAGCAACAGAATTTTGGTAAAAGTTAGGTTTGACAGTCAGAGTTGTTAAATTTAAATTTTCTAATACAGTTTCATTTGGTAAAAAAACTTTTACTATTAAAATTTTTGTTTTTGTGACCTCTACCAAGATGTGTTTTTTGGACATTGACACCCAATTCCCAACATTTCCTATTTTATAATATTTTTCTTAATTATTTTAATCTTTATTTGTTAACCTGTAGCTGTGTAGTTTTTGATATACTTTTTTATATTATACTGATGCATTTTATTTTTTTTGTAACCTGAAAAAAAGTTTTTTTATATACAAATTTAAGAAATGTTTATGCAAATTAAACAATTTAAAACATGCAGTAGCTGGTGGAAGATTATAATTATATAATTTCTTGTAGTTTTTTTACCCATCGTCACCCACAAAATATATAGTAATTAATAAAGTTAACAATTTGTGGAAATTTTTTTATACCACTTCTTCATTGACGAAATTTAAATATAATTAATTAAAAAAAATAAGAATCAATATCTGAACTTGGATATCCGCTTTCAAAAGTTATTAAAAAAAAAGATTTCTTGGCATCATTCTTTTTAAAATGAATATCCATACGATTAAATTTGACATTATAAAGAAATGCAATTGAATCTGCTCCAATATTCTGCTTTAACTGTTTTAAAAAAGGCATTTCTTCCAAAATGTCATCCCCTAAAGAAAACCACGAATCCATTTTATGAGATTGAAGATTCGCAGCAATAAATTTACGACGATGATAAACAAAACCGTCATGAGAAAGTTTTATATTAAGTTGATGAGATTCTCCTTCACGGGAAATGTATTATGACTATATACAGTAGAAGTCCACTTTGCACCTTTCCACGAATATTCTACAAAAGTTTTATTTGCAGTCGATGAAATTTTACCAGCATAAAACCGAGTGATAAGGTTATGAAAGGAAACTGTTTTATCAAAGCTTTTCAGTATATCGTTGGGAATTGAAAAATCCATATACATTTTTTTATCTTCATAATCTGAGAGATTCTCTAAAGTTAACACCTCTATTGTTGATATATTCTTAAGAGTTGTTAAAGAAGAAGTCATTGATTTTTACAAAATGAAAAACAAAAAAATTTTCAAAAATTTGTGTAACCTTTTTTAAAATCACAATTTCTAAAAAAAGACTTCAACTTGGAGACACTTCACACAACTGTTTAATTCCTACCTTTTTTTCTATTTAGTCATTAATATCTATAAGAATCTATGCTAATTTTTAGTCAGGATCTTAATTTTAATAAAGAAGGCTTTAACTGTTAACAAAAAAGTTACTAAACATTTATAATTATTTAAAATACTTCATCTTGGATATCATTAAAATAATTCTAACAAAGCATAAAAAAACACTAAAAAAAATAAAAAAAAAACTCTAAAAAAAATTTTTTTTCTCTATAAATAAAACTTGAATAATCTTAAAAAAAACATTAATGGAATGTGTAAATAAAAGTAAAGATATACCAAGAAATGAAGAAAACAGTGAAGATATACCAGAAGGTGAAGAAAACATAGATAAAATGAAGTATTAAGAACTAAGAATCTGGATATCAAGTGTGTTTGGTTAACGAATATTTAACATCTTCTATATGTCCTGGATGTAAAACCAGATCATTGGAAAAATTTAAAGAACGACCAAATCCTAACCCAAGTAAAAATGGAAAAGTAATTGAAATTCATGGATTGCTGCGTTGCAAAAACGAAAATTGTGAGCAAATGGTGAATGGAAATGCAGTTAAGAGACTTTGGAATAGGGATGACGTAGCAACATTAAATCTGAAAGATGTTGTTGAAAGTACTTTGTTGCACAATTCCAGACCAATTTATCTGAGTAGATTAGATTTCAATTTTTTTCCTGAATAGTTTTCGCTATTCTTTTTTTAATTGTTGCTCTATATTAATGTATTATATTATTAATTATGCAATATAACTTACATTCCTGAATCTTTACCTAAAGATTATTGTGCAACAACTGATTTAGTTGCCAACATTATTCTATTAGAACAATTAATATAAAACCTTTAATCAGCATCTGCTTCTTTGGCTCAGTTGGTAGAGCGTCAGTCTCATAATCTGAAGGTCCCGAGTTCGAACCTCGGAAGAAGCATAGTATAACTTTTTTTCGCAACTTTGCTTAAAAAAATAAAACTTGAAAATAAAATTTTTTTAAGTTTTTCTAAAGTTTTATTGTTTTTTTAAACTAACATCTATCTATTATATTATTTTGCATCTAAAGAAATGCAACGTTAAAAAAAAAAAAAACATAGCAATTTCCAGCTATTTATATATCAAGGCTAATATTTTATTTTTCATTTTGAATCGAGGTTAATTTCCTTTTGTAGCCTTTTTCAGAAAGTAATTTTTGTATGTAATTCCTTTGTAAAATTTCGATAATCAAGAAAATGAAGATCTTCATATTATTCTTGTCCTGTTGTTGGATGCTTTTGTTAATTTTCTTTTAGTGAATGTGATGGAACTGTCAAATCATAAATTGTGGTATCTCTTTCGCGATGTATTTTATTTGGAGGCAATTCATCGTTAAATCCTTTTATCCATACTATTTTTATTTCAGTATTAGCTGCCATTGTCTCAATTCTTATTAGCTTGAAGATTTTATAGTTAACACCAATGTTTTCACCATTAATGGCTTTCATTGCAGCTTCAAACCGGTTAAAAAATTTAACATTAAAAAACCCACTATTCTTCCATCATTTGCTGTTGTCGTAAAATTGATAAATCGTTGGAAAATTCCTTCACAGATTCTGTTATATTCACAGAAAATGGTGTCTGTTTGGGAAAACTATGCTGTATCTTTTTCCAACTGATACGGCGTTAGATTTATCAAAGTCTATATTACAGAGATGGATTTAAAATTTTTGATACAATTAGTGGCTTTTTTTTGTTTTTCAAGTTCATCCAACAATTTTTTATGATTTTTAAACAATCCTTTTACTTTTTCTAATGCAATAACTCCAGGTTTATCTGTAAAATCAAAAGGAAATTGATCAATATATGGAAAATTGGGTTGGTATTCATCTTTAATCTCGTAAGAATTCAAAAGCAGTGAATAAAATTTCCAAAGCAGGTCCATTACCGAGAGTTACAGCAGGAAACGGAGTATCGTATTCCACTCTACTCAACTGTCTTGTTTTTGGAGATGCAGTTCCAATTTGCATAAAATTCTTTTGAAACTGTCGGAATGCTACTGTCGCTTAATTCCGATTAACCTATTTTCAGCAGCAGTAGTCCACCTGTGTAGCCCTAATAAGCCTTTTGAGATAGAAGAACCAATGAATTCAAAATAACAATGCAAAAAGCATTCAAGAGCAAAATATTATTTTATTAAAAACAAAAAAAATTTTTTTACCAATCCCTTTCCAAAATTCCTATATGTTTTCTTTGATGATTTGTGCAAAGAAGGAGTTCCAAACTTTGCAACATATTGTTGAACGTTATGTTCTCTTTGACTCAATTGTTTGGCTCCTCCTTGGTAGCTTTTAAAGTTTTCCTTGGTAATATTTTTCAAGACTGTTAAACCATTATCAGTAGTAGTTGTCAAGTTATCACCATCCAAATTTTTATAAGCATAATTTTTTGCATCCGATTAGGCCATTGGAATAATTTGTTTGAATTTAATGACAGTTGGACTTTTATCAGTTGGCTTAATATCAAATATTTCATTAAAGAGAATTCTCGAAGTTTTTGGTTGTTTTAAAAATATTCCTATTTCATTTGAAAATTTTCTGGTAAATTTCTCCAATAAATCTTTCATACTGTTTTTGAATTGTATTTTTTTAATTTTTTTTTTTTGAAAAAAAATAAAAATATATATTTCATTTATATTTTTTGGGAACAAAGAAAAAAAATTTTTTTTTAATAATTGTGCCATAGTGTTATTCTGACAAAAAATACAAAAAAACTAATAACAGAGGACATGAGTTAAGGAGTTTATGAATAAAAAATAAATCAATTGAGGTAGCTGCCTCAGTTTCATTGTAAAGAATCTGATACGTGGAGAGAACATTTTATCACCATCTTCAAAAGCAAAATGTTGATCCCCATCAAACGTTTAAAGTTTACTTCGATTGTATTGTTAGTAAGTGTTAAGTACGTTTAACTTTTCATGTACTTTTTGATCTACTATTAATACTTAAAAAAAAAGATTGATATTGAATTTTTATATGCAGCTCTATTTAATTAAGTACATTATTCAGAAATCATTTTTAATTTGGTAAATACTAAATCAACTTCTTTGGTTTGTATGAGACATTTAAAGTCATCTTCTTACGGGCTCTGTTTTGTTATATCAAATATTTTAGTGTTGATAAATTTTTTTTTAAATTACATAAAAGTTGAGGATTAGATTTGAAAAAAGCTTCCTTATTGTTGGTTAAAACTTTTGAATAGATGAAGGTATACTTTAAACTTTTTGAAATGATGGTGGTAAACTCTTATTATCTCCACTATCAGTTTCTTCCCATTAAATTTTAGTGACAACAACCTCAATAAAGCTATTTCTTTTCAAAGCTCATTATCTTAAGTGATCATAAATAGATTTTAAAGAAATAGCGAGCAAATAAAATACAATTAATTTTTTTTATTAACAAAACATTAATGTTTTATTTAATATTTTTTTATTTATTTGTTTCTCTAGTGTTGTTTTGTTTTTAATTTTATTTTTTTTTTCTAATAGTATTTTGTTGGTAAAATATTTTCCTCTTTTTTTTCAGTAAATAGCCAAATAAAGAGTATACTACTGGTTGCTGATAATAAAAAAATTGCATCAAACCAACGGTGATAAAAATGAAATTCAATATTGCCCAAAATATCTGTAATAATTGTTCTAAAGGAAAAATAAAATATAGAAATAAATTTATATTTTAAATTAAAAAAAAAAAAAAAAATAAAAAATTGGTTTTTTTTTAAAAAATAATAAAATAATATACCTGAATTGTGGAGGAACTGACATTCTCATCATCAAAACAGTGGATAGGAAATAAATACCCATGATGTGTGCCAAAAATAGTACAATATTGTTTGGTGAAATAAAATTTGAAAATCTAGCAAAGACCTAAAAAAACAAAAAAATTAAGTTTTTGATTTTTAATTTTAATAAGAAAAAAAAAAAAATTAACCTTCATGAATTGAATAAGTAATCCTCGAATACTTCCAACCACCATAATACCAACAAATAAGAAACTTAGATGTTGCCTAAAAAATAAAATAAATAAAAAAAATAAAATTAAAAACTTACACCCAAAATTCCAAATCAATAGAAATACCCAGATAATGACTGGCAATATTTAAACCATGCGTGACTGGATCAACTCCTCCAGATCTATTAAATAAGATATTGATTGTACTAGTAAAAATTTTCCAAACACAATAAAAACTAAACACATAACCAAGTAAATTGTAGTATTTTCCCTTCAAAGTTTTGGAAAATTCAATTCTATCCTATAAGAAAACATTTAAGTATAAAAAAAAAAAAAAAAAAAATGCAAACCAGTTCCATGTTTAAATCATCTAAATCCAAAAACAATTGTTTATTGACGTTTTGTAGCGCCAAGATTTCATTTTCTAAAAATTTAATGCTTTCGTTACCACTACTAAAATTGTCTTGCACTTCATCATAGACCTTTTTAAAGTATCCAAAAACATTCAAATTACTTTTTTCTCCTAAACTTGAGTTATATGCAAGTTTTTGTTTTTCTTTTCTTTGATATAATTTTAAGCAGAGCTTTTTTTTTTTACTCAGTAATATATCCATATTTTGCAACAGTTTTTTTTCTGCCGAATGTACATCCGCATTAGTAACATTTCTTGAAAAACATTTAAAATATCAATTATGAGTATATAAAAAAAAAGTTTCCTTACTTGAGAAACATAAACATTGTGTTATATGGAGACATTACTGCTCCTAGACCGGACAGTATCGCCATAACAGTTACTCCTATCACGCCAATTCTTCCAACTCCAGCCTCAATAGAAAATATTGCTAAAGAAGGAAAAAAATAATTTTTGAAAATTAAATAAGAAAGTCAGTTTCTAGATTTTTTTTTTTTTTTTAACAATTTTAAAAGAAATTAGTACATTTGTTGACAACACTGTCATTTGGCAGTTGATCACCAACTTTCCAGAAAAAGTATAAATATATCAACCAAAACCCAAAGGCTAATTCAAATCTTCGTTTTCTTGCCCATTCTTTCATATTAAACAAAAAAAAAAAAAAAAAAATTACATATTTAATTTATTTTAAATTGGAGTTTTATAGAGATTAAGAAAAAAAATATAAAAATTTAATTTTTTAAATACCTTTGTCAGACTCAGAACACACAAGATAAAACTGATAATAGGGCAACAAAATAACACTCAAAAACAACATAAGATAAATAGATATCTTCCACTGCAGTCTTCTTGTTCTACACCGATAAAAAAAAAAAATTGTCATTAAAGAAGATTTTGTGTGTTAAATAATACCCTGTATCTAAAATATTCAATATTTCAAATATAATCATTTCAAACAAATTGCAGGAGGTGGTAAAAGATATACTAAATAAAATAGAAACTACATAATTTCTTTAAAAGAAAAAATTTAAATTAAAAAAAAAAAATTTAACTTCTTACCTGATCTCATAATTTTTAAACAATTTTTCCATGAAAAATATCCAACCAGTAGAAAAGAAAAATATTTGAGAGCACATTATGATAAACCAAGAAAAAAACATGAAAAAAAAAAAGATATGATTTAAAAAAAAAAAAAATAAAAGAAA